CATTATTTGCATTTTACTCAGATGAAGATTATGATCTTGATCTGAATTTTTTTTTAATAAAACTATGAGATTTTGCATCTGTCCATTAGTAACTCCGGCGAGATTGTGGACGACGAGTTTCTTCCGCCACAAATTCATGATTTTCTAACGAATCGTTTTTTTTTTTAATTTCAAATCCCATTTTGATTCCAAATTTTAGGTTTTAATTTCATCTTTACACAAACCCATTTCATTTGATTCCGACAAAAGTCTCAATGGATTCCAATTACGATCAAGAAGCGTTTCACGGTAAATCGATTTCGCTCGAGAATCTCCTTCTGGTTCTTCAAGGTGATAATATTAATAATCTCTGTTTCGTCTTTCGAAATTTCGAAAAAATTGGTGACTTTGTTACTAAATCAGGAACAAAATCGACCAATTTATCAAGAGAACTCAATAATCAATCGCCCGAGAAAAAGCGCAGACTAACAATTGATCAAGTAAGTATATATAACGCGGAAAATCGAAAGATACTCGCTGGTTCGGGTTTTTGATTGGTTTTGGTTTCTTCTTCTTTGAATAGGTGAATCTGTTGGAGAAGAGTTTTGAAGAAGAGAACAAATTAGAACCAGAGAGAAAGCTTGAGCTAGCCAAAAAGCTTGGATTGCCTCAACGTCAAGTAGCTGTTTGGTTTCAGAATCGAAAAGCTCGATGCAAGATTCAGCGAATCGAAAGAGATTACCATATTCTCAAGGCTTGTTACGATTCACTCCTTGCAAAACATGAATTAGTTATCTCAGAGAATGAGAAACTCAAATCTAATGTAAGCAAGCAAATATAAAAAAATTCCACTTTTATGCTTTCTTAGATCAAAATTTGAGCTCAGTTTCTTGAGATTTTCTTGCAGGTCTTAACTTTGACTGAGATGCTTCTTCCTGCAACAAACCAAACCCAAAGAAATTTCCAAGACAAGCTTAACACAAAAGGTGATGATGAAACTATGAGCTCTTCCACAGCTTTTATTCCATTAGTAAACGACGATTACCACACCAACATCGATGAATCATTCGGCTTGTGGGTTTGGCCATCAAATCTTAAGTAATTATCTGAGAATCCGAGATCAGTATATAGCACATGAGACTTAGTATTCAAAGCTTCTTTGCTAAACATGGGCAAAGCTTGGATAGTCTTTAGAGCATAGTGTTAAAACATATGAGAAATAAGAATGTAAAAAAAAAAAAAAACTATTACCATCACTATTTTCATATAAGATATAAATGGATCCATCAGAGAGTGAGATAATCTTCTTTTTATTTCTATAGATATTTATGTGCAATCAATCAAAATCTAGAGTGGGTAATGGATTTTATGTAAGAGTCAAAAAAAGAAGAACGTATTTGACCCTACAAAACCCAACATAAACCATTAGAGCCAAAGACTTTTGAAATTAAAGCCTTAAAGGTAATTTGGTTTATACAAGATTTCATTTTTGTTTTGGTTAACACAAAGAGCCAAAAAAAGTCTTAACCACCACTGACTCTTAACCTAAACCAAAGACTAGATTGTGTTTGAACACAAGTCAAAAGTTCTCATTTGCTTTATATCCATCATACTTGAGTGTATATCGATTATTTTGATGATAATCAAGAACCAGCATGTATAATCTAGATATATGTATTCAAAAAAAGTTAACAGTGAATTTGTTGAGTGTGTAAAGGAAAGTATATGGAAAAGAGGAAAAAAGTGAAGAAAAGAGAGGCAAAGATAATAAAAATAAAGCTAAAGCATAGCATATAAGTCTTTTGAATCCATTATTGTTCAGCATAATTAATTAATGTGATCTTGTATGATTAGCAAGCATAATGCAATTCAAGTTTTTATAAATATTTTATAACAATATGGCACAACAGATGATTCTGAAACCCCCCCAAATATGATTCAGTAAACACTAAATATCGATGATTTCGATTGAAAAAATGAGCAAAAAGATACTACCTTTCGTCGTTCTCCTGCTTCTTATGATCTTCTTCCATCCATGGAAGTTTTGGAAGATCATCGACGTTAAGCGATGAAGAAGGCAACCTTCTTTGAGCATCTGAAGAGAATTTATCTTTCTTTGGCCATAACCAAATCTTCGAAACCGAAAAGCTCTCTCCTTTAGCCACACTATTGATCTTTTTCTCTTCTGTTGACGAATTCCCCGTCTGCTGCTCAGATTCTTTGTCCTGAGGTTTCATACGCCGTTGCCTATCGTTACAAAACGGGACTTTAAGCTCCGAGTTACCAAGTATATACTGATACGAACCCATCGAGAAACATCTCCTTGCATCTAAATTACTACTACTAGTCTCTCCTCCAGCAACAACATCAGTACCAACATTGTCAAGCCTCTTAAATTTCCCCAATCTAACCGGCAAAACGCCTTTCTCAACAACGATCTCTTGAATCTCCATAGTCTTCTGGCTTCCATTCTCAGTCACACACTCTTCGTCTTCTCTTATATCATCGAAATCAAACATTGGATTCTCCATGGAGAAACCGGGCGAAAAGAGAGTACCGCGACAAAGAGGACAAGTCGAATTCGACTGAAGCCAAGTATCTATACAGTTCAAATGAAAAGCATGGCTACACATTGGCAACAACCTCAGCTTATCTTTCTCAGTAAACTCACATAGACAAACCGCGCAATCAAACGGCTCTTGACCATTGCCACCACCATTACCACTACCAACAATCTCTTTATAGTGAAAAACAGGTAAAGCATCAATAAAAGCTTGATCAAGACCAGAATCATTAAGATGAAACAGCTGTTGAAGCTGTCTTTGAAGAGCATCACTAGTTGAGATCTCAGGGTATCTATTAGACCTT